ACCAGCGAGTCAACCATCTCGAACTCGGGGAGTGCTTCAGCTGCGTCCTTTGCTGCGAGCGCCTCCCTGGGTTCACAACAAGACACCAACAGGCACCACAATGCATGAGCAAGGGTTGCTACAGTTACTCCAGAGAAGCGCAAACTAAACAGAGAACATACCTGTGGGCGACGCAGTGGCTTGAGACGAGATGCGGTATGCGGAGGCGGAGTCGAGCGACAAGGCCAGCTTTTTTTCCCATCATCACACTCGCGCCGTCAGTGCTTATGCCGGTGATCCTGGCAAAATCGATGCCGAGGGCCTGCAGGTGGGACACTAACACTGACAGGAGTGACGCGGCATCGCCCTCGAAAGCGAGTGGCTGCATCCCATGGCCGTGGTCTTGGCAAAGAATGGCACCGACAGCGACATCGGAAGCATCGGTCCATATGAAGTATGGGCGTGAAGGGTCGGCGACGGTGAGGACCGGTGCAGAGGTGAGTGCTGATTTGATTGAGTTGAAAGCGGTTTGCTGCGGTAGTCCCCATTGAAAGCCAGCTCCTTGACGGAAGAGATCGGTCAAAGGGGCGCAGATGTGAGAGAAGTTGAAAATGAATTTCCGGTAATACTTGGCGAGGCCGATGAAACTTTGCAGCTCCGCTACCGTGCGTGGGGCTGGCCAATCAGCAAGGCACTGGACCTTTGCGGGGTCCATAGCAATGCCTTTGGAGCTGATGACATGGCCGAGAAAGCCGATGCTTGAACGGGCGAAGGTACACTTGGAAAGCTTGGCGTAGAGGCGGTGTTGGCGTAGCGTGTCGAGGACGATGCGTAGGTGCTGAGCGTGTTCCTCGAGTGACTTGCTGAAAATGAGGATGTTATCGAGGAACACGATGACAAAGCGGTCGAGGAAGGGTCGAAAAATGTCGTTCATGAGTCCCATGAACGTGGCTGGTGCGTTGGTGAGGCCGAACGGAAGTAAGCGGAACTCGAAGTGGCCGTAGCGGGTTCGAAACGCCGTCTTGTTGATGTCGTCTTCGGCGAGCCGGATCTGGTGGTAACCGGAGCGTAGGTCGAGCTTGCTGAAAACTGTTGCTTCCCCAAGCATGTCGAACAACTCCTCGACACGGGGCAGCGGGTACTTATTCTTGATTGTGATGGCGTTGAGGGCGCGGTAGTCGATGCAAAGGCGCAGGTCACCTTCCTTCTTGCGGGTGAAAAGCACGGGGGCAGCGTATGGTGAGGTGCTTGGGCGGATGAAACCCTTCTCGAGAAGGTCATCGAGTTGACGTCGGAGCTCCAAAAGTTCAGCGGTGCTCATGCGATAGGTTGGGCGCACGGGCGGTGTAGAACCTGGAATGAGGCGGATGCTATGGTCAATAGCACGCTCGGGTGGAAGTTCGGCGGGAAGATCTTCGGGGAAGACGTCGGTGTAGCCTTGGAGTAACTTCTGTATAGGTGATGGGAGAGAGTTGGGTGATGGTTCAGATTCGGGAGCGGTGAAGATGACTAGGAGATGATGAGGAGGAGGTGGTGATGGAGGGGTGGGGGCTGATGGATTGATAAATTCAGAGGCGGGGCGGATGATGGGACGTCGTGGCTGCTGGGTTGGGTGGGGTGGAGAAGGAGGAGGTGTGTTGATCACTTCGGGGGAGCCGGGTGGTGTTGGCTGCTGCACGGGAGCTATGTGAGGAGGAGGGAGAGGGGGGATATGGGAAGATGGAGATGGGGCAGGTTGGGGTGGATGGGTTGATGAAGCGGAACTGGTTGGGGATGACCATGGTCGGCGAAAGGAGTGGGATGGGAGGTCGTAGTTGCCGACGGTGACAGTTCCGTTGCGCCAATAAATCCGCGGTCCAAACTGGTGCAACCATGGTCGACCGATAACGCCTTCGTACCCACCGAGGTGCACTTGCTCGAACGTGACCGTCGCCTCCAAGCTTCCAAACATGCAATGCACAGGGAGGAGAGTAGGTCCGCAGCGCCGCCGAGTACCATCTGCCATGATCACGTCCTGCGGGTTGCTGTTGGGATCTTCGGGGAGAGAAAGTTCAGCAGCAATTGAGGGAGAGGAAATTTGCTGAAGCGCCGGTATCGAGCAAAAAGTCAACGTAGCGATTCTTTATTTTTGCGTATAGAATGATGGCGGGGAATGGAGCGTTGGATGTGGTGTAGAGTTCAGAGGTGCCGATGAATAATGGAGTCGGGAGAAGCGGGGCATGCGATGCGCCAGAGGTCTGCCCCACTGCTACTGGCGCTGTCCGTTTCCCGGAGACCTTTCGAAGTTGCGGCGGTTCGGGCAATGTCGCTTGATGTGGCCGACTTTCCCGCACGAGTAGCACGTAAGCGTGGACTGGTTGCGTGCACGCTGTTCCACCACACCGAGCTCCATGGGAGAAGGACCGTTGGTGCGGTAGGTAGGTCCAGCAGTGGTGTGCTGCCCGGTTCGTCCTTGGAATCGCTGGTATGCTGCAAAGTTGATGGTGTCAAAACGCTCGGCGACACGAATCATCTCATCCAACGTCGTAGCGCCGCGGAGTTCGACCTCGGTGCGGATTTTCGGCTTCAGCCCACGCTTGAATTTGTCCATCTGTTCAGCAGCAGGGATGTCAGGGATCTCAAGCACGAGCTCGCGGAAGAGGTTGATGTACTCAGCGACCGAGCGATGTTGGCGTAATTCAGCGAGGTTGTCACGTGCGCGCTCGATGGAGTTGACCGGCTCGAAGTTCATTAATAGCGATGCAGAAAACTCTTCCCAAGTTGAAATCGTAGCATGGCAACTCTGCCACCAAGTAGCAGCTGCACCCCTCAGCATCATGCCGGCGTGCCGAGCCCACTCCGCCCGGTTGACATGACAAAGGGAGAGGTATTCCTCCACTTGGAAAAGCCACCGTCGCACCGGTAAGTGACGTTTTCCAGGGATGAACGGCTCAGGTTCGGGTGCTTTGGGTCGTGCAGAAACCACAGCAGGTGCTGGCGTCGGCACCTGTGTGCCCAGGAGTCCACGTTCCTGGAGTTCGCCGAGGATCCGGTCACGCACCTCGCGTTCAATTTCTCGGCGCATATTCGCCACAAATTCGTTCCAGAGTTCCGGCGTCATATCAGACGGTCCGGCCATAGGGTCTAGAATATGGCGGGAGCGTGCGAAATAACTAACCAGGCTCTGATACCAGTGAAACGTTGCTGGCAGGGAAGTAGCAGCCTTAGTAGGCTAGGAAAACGAGGATAGAGTGCTCTCTGGAGTTCTCTGGAAATTGCACTATGACTTCACAAATTTCACAGTACAATTTTATAGAGCACATTCAAATATCGAGTCGCACTCCCAAGTCGCGACTCTCTCTGAATTTCTCAATAGTAACCCAACCGCTTTGAAATGAACCTGCCGTGAAATTCAGAGAATTATTGCGGTACGGGATTGGACGGCGAGCTTGGTTACGGGGCTGTAATTTCGTCGGTGTTGTTGGCGAAGTCGGCGAGCGGTCGGAACTTCGGTGTTCTGCGTTTCGTAATTTTCGCGCGAGGGTTTGTGTTGGGCTGCGCGTCAGGACCTGGTCGCCCAGCTGCAGGTTGAGGCGTTTGACCAATACGAACAGTTGGTGAGGTGGCGCTTGACTTCCGCCCACCTGCACTGTACTTGGCAGCATTCGGCTGCCACACTGTTACAGCTGTGAAAGTTACTGAAAACCTTCCTGCGAGTGTCTCGCATGTTGGTTGAACACACCATACCCAGATGACACTCAAAAACTTACCCGTGGGACACTTCGATTGTGATGCACTTGATCGCGACGAATCACAACCGCTCGTCTCAAACCTGTTTAGACTTACCCTCTCGTAACTTTGAATTGGTCAACGAATCAGAAATTATGACGTGTATTGCACTCGTTTGTTCACACACGGGTGGAGATTTTCCCGCGCAAGATATGAATGTTCTGGATTGGAGTCAAACAAATCTGATGCATTCATGTGTGTGATTGCTGGCATCGCTCGCTTACATCAGTGGTGCGCGAACTTGAGTGTTTAGCATCTGAATGGCTGGTTTTAGTAATGGTAACTTGACGCGAAGATGGGCGTCGCACACATGCACGGTTTTTTGAATTATCCGATAATACAAGTAGCATGTTACTTTTTCAGTTCAGTCATAATTGGTCAATATGTTTTTCAGTTCTGATTTTCGCTGTACTCACTGTTCATGAACAGTTTGTATAAAATCATAATTCGCTATTATCATTGTTCTGGTGTATGTATTATTAAAATTGTATAAATCCGTTACACATTCATGTTGAAATTCTTTATTTAATCATTACTACAGGCAACATGCATGATCCACACCTAGCTGCACTGTACGTTATATTGTACCACTACGCATACAGTAATAATAACTACAGAATAATTATTAAATACCATTTTAGGAGCTAGCTTCAGTCATCCAACCCATCATCGCTGATAAACACACTGTTCGTTGCACTAAAAAACTTCCAAGCAGAGTAGCGGTTGTTCCACCAGGGCCCCCTCACATTGTTGGCAATAGAAATAGCCGCATTGACCCAATCCTTGACGGCACGGTGATAAATTGCCACGCCGTCACGGTTCTCCTTTGTGCTCTTGGAAAGGTCGGTCCCTTTCTTCAGTTTCTGCTCCACCTGCGAACCACCCAAACACAAATATTAAAAAGACATATTAGACAACCGACAAAGATTTTCAGCTAGTACCCAGTACACAAAACAGAACTCACCCCGAACAGCCAAAATGCGATATGAATCACTTTCAGCACCACCACCGAGTGCCCTGGATGAGCAAACGACGCAGCGATGCTTCGGACAAAAACCGCTGTCGCAAACGGCACACCATAGCGGTTCACATGCCACGTCAGTAGTCCGAATGACCCATTCACTGCATGGGCCATAGAACACACCCTCAGGGCAAATCATACAAGGCATGTTGTGCCGCATGAGAACAGGAGAGAATAAGCCATTACTGTGCCAGACAATGAGCAGCACCACCTACAAGGCGCACCTGAAGAGTCAAAGGATGGGGGCGGAAAACAGGGGGGAAACTATGTGTGGGGAGAAGGCACTACTAAGAGGAGGCTCCCAGCCAATGCATAGCCCATAGAAGTGAGGATGCAGCCCTGCACCACCTCCAATGCGCACCTGCAGAGACAAAGGATGGGGGAAAAAACACACGGGGGGGGGGCATGAGTAGGGGCACTACCGAGAGGAGGCCCCAGCCAATGCATAGCCCACAGAGGTGAAGAGGCAGCCCTGCACCACCTCCAATGCGCACCTGCAGAGACAAAGGATGGGGGAAAAAACACACAGGGGGGAACCATGAGTAGGGGCACTACTGAGAGGAGGCCCCAGCCAATGCATAGCCCACAGAGGTGAAGAGGCAGCCCTGCACCACCTCCAATGCGCACCACCTTTGAGGTACAAGAAAGCCTTTTTGGGGCCAATGAGCACAACCAAAGCGTGTAAAGGGAAAAGGGCGTGTGGTGTAAAGGGCACACAATAAGGTGATTCTTACCGGCTCTAAAAGTCGTCAGAAATGACGACACCGAGGTGGTGCCAAGAACTTTCATTTTTTGGTCAGGCCTGGCTATCGCAAGGTCGAAGTCGTTGATAACGCCACAACGGCCTTTGGTGAGATTTTCATTGCGCATGTCCTGCAGCTTGTTGCGAATGTAGGTGCGGCGCACTTGATCGTAGAGGTAGACATGCAGCAAGTTCCACCTCTGCTCTGGTGTCGTGCATTTCATGGCCGTTAACATTGCCGCGAGCAGGCTATGCCGTGCAGGCCAGAAATCCACTTGACCATTTGGCGTCTTGTACACAAGGATCTCGATTGTGTCTGACATGACAACCTGGAGTTTGAAGAAAGGTAGATTAGCAACGAACGGATTATCACGCTCACATCAATTGGGGTTTTGGGTAGGCTGGAGGTTGGTGGGCAGCAAGTGAGGTGGGAATGCTAAGGGGCATAGATAATAGTTGGGGGCAGTGTGCGTGATGGGAGAAGGGTTTCGGGTTTGGGGTACTTGCAAGCACATGACAAGCAAATAGCGAGGCTATGTTGGGCGACAGGAACATGATAAATATGCATATACCTAAACTTACATACAAGCCACCGTTCGCAGGTGGAATCGTCTTCATGGCTGTGGCCACCTTTGTCGCGAACGGTTCGAGATCCGGCGCGAATGTGTTGTAGTCCGGAGCGATGCCCATGTTGTGTGCCTCGCCAACTGCTGTTCCCACAGTACGCCGGTTGGCAAGGATCACTTGCGGCTGCGCCCCCTGAGCCGGGACACCTAGGGGTTGGGAGGGTGGTGCTTGGGGGGATGCATGTTCGTCGTCATCATCGGAAGATGATGACGGGGATGGTGATTGTGAACGACCGTATGCTGCAACCTGATTATGCAAGGTCAGGTTCTCACGTTGCAGCCGTCGAACCTCCGCCATCATGGCATCGAACTCTGCCCTTCCAACAACAGAGCCGTCTCCCGTGGGTGGTGCTGGCCCCAAAGTTTCCCCGAGGTGAGTCTGGAAGGCGGCCACATAAACAGGCTCTCTTTCCGGTGCAGGGTTTGCCACTACCCCCCTTGTAGGTACTGCAGTATGGTTCGGCAGCGCAAATGGAGAGGATGGACCATCCTCAGTTGCCATTCCCTCCATACGATGGGCAGAGGGAGGGCTGCTAGGCCTAATGGGCGGCTGGCTATTGTCGAATGGAGCTGCTGCGGTGGCGGCATTTGTTGTGAACTGGTTACTACCCTGTTGAGTGTACTGACCAGCTGCGGCAGCGGAGGCAAGAGGCGGAGGTTCATGCGAGACGGACCCAGGATCAGCGGCAGCTGTAAACTGATGCAGTCCCCCCTGCTCAGCAGCGAAACCAGCAGCAGCGGTGGTAGGAAGGGGAGGAGGTCCCTGCAGCCAGGTATCAAAAGCAGAGGCAGCGGTAGGCAGATGCAGGTCCTCCTGCTGATGCGAGTAGCCAGCAGCAGGGGCGGTAGGAAGGGTAGGATGTCCCTGCGGCTGTGAAGCACCGGCAGCAGCGGCAGAGGAGTGATGCAGCACCTCCTGCTGATGCGAGTAGCCAGCAGCAGCGGCGGTAGGAAGGGGAGGAGTTCCCTGCGGCTGTGAAGCACCGGCAGCAGTGGCAGAGGAGTGATGCAGCAGCTCCTGCAGATTCGAGTAGCCAGCAGCAGCGGAGGTAGGAAGGGGAGGAGGACCCTGCAGCTGTGAAGCACCGGCAGCAGCGGCAGAGGAGTGATGCAGCAGCTCCTGCTGATGCGAGTAGCCATCAGCAGCGGCGGTAGGAAGGGGAGGAGGACCCTGCAGCCGTGAATCACCGGCAGCAGCGGCAGAGGAGTGATGCAGCAGCTCCTGCTGACTCGAGTAGCCAGCAGCAGCGGCGGTAGGAAGGGGAGGAGGTCCCTGCGGCTGTGAAGCACCGCCAGCAGCGGCAGAGGAGTGATGCAGCGCCTCCTGCTGATTCGAGTAGCCAGCAGCAGCGGCGGTAGGAAGGGGAGGAGGACCTTGCAGCTGTGAAGCACCGGCAGCAGTGGCAGAGGAGTGATGCAGCAGCTCCTGCTGACTCGAGTAGCCAGCAGCAGCGGCGGTAGGAAGGGGAGGAGGTCCCTGCGGCTGTGAAGCACCGGCAGCAGCGGCAGATGAGTGATGCAGCACCTCCTGCTGATGCGAGTAGCCAGCAGCAGCGGCGGTAGGAAGGGGAGGAGGACCCTGCACCTGTGAAGCACCGGCAGCAGAGGCGGAGGAGTGATGCAGCAGCTCCTGCTGACTCGAGTAGCCAGCAGCAGCGGCGGTAGGAAGGGGAGGAGGTCCCTGCGGCTGTGAAGCACCGGCAGCAGCGGCAGAGGAGTGATGCAGCACCTCCTGCTGATGCGAGTAGCCAGCAGCAGCGGCGGTAGGAAGGGGAGGAGGTCCCTATAGCTGTGATGCACCGTCAGCAGAGGCGGAGGAGTGATGCACACCCCCCTGCTGCAGGGAACGACCAGCAGCGGCGGCGGTATGCTGACGCTGCCGCGCCTGCTGCAAAGAAGGACCACCTGTGGCGGCCGATTGCTGACGCTGCCCCGCCTGCTGAGGGGAACCACCAACAGCGGCTGTAGCGTTTGTGATTGCCCCACGGCGCGCGCTTGTGCTACGTGTTTCATATGCAGCAGGTGAGGCATAAGCGCCAGCAACCGGAACAGCTGCGTTCATCTGCAGGTTGGAGGTCCGCGGTACTAGCGCGTGGCCGCTGGTGTCGTTGTTGGCAGGCGCCTGTTCAGTGGTCGGAGAAGCATTGTTCACCACTTTGAGGCTACGAAATCCACGGCTCCCTGCCACACAGAGGGAACACAAGATTTGGGTTGGTTTTGAGTTACAGCCGTCGGGACAGGTACGCATGGTGTAACCAGCGAACAAACACGCCATAGCGTATGCACACCGACATGCTCACCTTCCAGAGTGGGCGATCTATTGCCTCTAGCAGGGCGACGGCCGGCCATTTCGCTAGGTTGTAGAGGGCGCACTGGAGGTTCGAACGTATGTAAGGTATCACGAAGCTGGTGTCTGATGAATGACAGGGAATCAGCCCATTGTAAGCTTCTTCTTATGGACCGTGAGGGGTTAGCTTCTGTTGCTACAGCGCCTAGTTTACAGACATGGCCTCAAGGAAAGGTGGGTGCAGTACGACAAGGCAGCAGAGGCAGTTGTGGTATGCCTAGTCAGCAGCAGACGCGGTACGCCAAGGCAAAGGTCCCTGGGGCCTTATGAGCAGCAGCAGACGCGGTACGTAAAAGGCAGAAGTCACTGCGGCTCGGCTGTACGAGATAAAGAGCAGCAGCCGACGCGGTACGTCAACGCATCTGTCTCTGTCGCAAGGACCCGTCATCCGCTGCGGCTCGCAGATAAGGATGCTGCAGTGACAACACACTGGCAGCGGCGGGGGGATGAACGGGAGCAGCCTCGCTAGAGCTACGGATCACCCGTCCAGCATCTCAAGCGACACCGCGCGTTTCAGGAACTTCTGCTATAAAAAGAGTGATCACGACTGTTTATGGCTCGCAGGCAAAGCCTTTGCGCGGCGTTCCTTAAGGCAGACTACAGGCAGGCCTGGGCACGATTTCAAATTGTTGAATTCAAACTGCGGGAGAGTTATGGGGGGTGGTTGTGACTGGGAGGAGTGGGCACTGGATGTCAACTAGGGTTTGATTGTTGGGGGGACGATGTACAGGCATACGCTGGCAGGTGAGTTGCGCTGCACTGGTCACGTCGAAGGTGACGTTGTCACAGTTTTAACAACAGGGAGGATTAGCGGGCCACTCAACAACCGAACACCTCCCCTAGTGGCACTGCCAGCAAGGTTGAGCAAGATAAACAGTACAGAAACGACAGCAGGACCAACTCCCCCTGGTTCTGAATCACGAAGCGCGCGGGGTCCGCTCCGGCAGATAATCGACTGCCATTCAGCAGCCAAACCATATCGGTTTGTGTCGGTTGTGGTATGTGCAGTCTATTAACAAATTTGCAATCACAATAATGTTTGTAATGCCTGTAGGTTATTAAACAAAATATTATGTTGTGCTTCTTATTATGAATAGCGGACAACAAGATATTGGTTCTCGTGCCCAGCAGTTGATCTCGTGTTATTCAGCCAGAAGAAACAGCCACGCTTTTATCTGCTCTAGCCGAGCGCAACATTTACACAAAATCAACAACTGGACTTCGTGACCATAAACATCTTTGTATTGCAAGATGGTTACATGCACGTACCAACCTCAACAACTCTAGTTACAATTGTTACTATTGGAAACAAGTAATTGAGGCGAAGCACAGCGAAGCATCGGCGAGTCAACACTTGGAGGTTTAGAAGTGAAAGAAACCGCTGGAGGTTACGCAAAAGTCAAAGGTCAGCGACCTTTGACCTGATAAGTACAGCGCGACAGCAAGGACAAACAACTGACTCGTTATTGAGCAGTTGCCCTAGTCGTCACTGTATCGAACCGCAACAGCAACAGTAAAACAGTTATTAGTTGCATCTTTTCATATTCCTTGTACTCTTATAAAAGCCTTGTATCTCTTTGATTAATCAATCTTCTTTGCCCTCACATACCAGCGCAAGGTGGTTCAAAGACTTATCATTATACGCTTCCGCATTCACTGCAAGTCCTACCCAGAGTTTAGTTATGCAAAGATCCTGAGGGCTTTTCTCAGCCCAACATGGTATGAGAGCAATCAGGGCAAACTCAACTATTTCAAAGACACCTATAGCATCAGAAGGCATGGCAACACAGAAGGAGAGAAGCTCCTCTAACGGCTCTCCCGGTACTACTCCTACTCCACCCCCTGCCTCTGGCCTAGAGACAGAGGAGGGCACGACAACAAGACCAGCATCCGGGTCTACTGAAACTCTTGCAAATCAAGCCGCAGGCTTCGACCCAAGTATGATTGAGAAGTTCTTCTCCTTCATGTCCTTCTACGAACAACACCAGCAAGGGGCACCTGCACAGTCAAATAACAGCAACAACAACAACGACGTGACACCAATGAGCCTCGACGGTTCATCCTATGCGCGAGGAAATCAGCAACAGCAACCTACCTTCGCCCCGTACGAACCCCAGCGCGGTTCCGTCAGTTTCATGCCGCGCCAACAACCTTCACCTGAGCAAGAGAAGACATTGGATGCACTTCAAGTTCAGTCGCAGTTTGCGCACGTCTTAAAACTGCAGACATCAAGACCATTTGACGGAGAAGATTTGTTTACTTGGAAGGCGCTCGGATTCTTGGATTCTTCGACGGGTCTCTGCCATACCCAACACACGGGACGCAATACGACAAGCAGCAGTACACATATCAGTCAATGATGGCATATACGATCCTACTGAGGAACATAACTCCAACCCAGCAGCAAAACATTCGGTCTTTCCGGGGATACGGGAACTCCGCCGAGCTCGCGTACAACCACTTGAAGAACCTGTATCAGGCAAAAGACAGCGTCTATCAAAGTCGGTTAATGGCACAACTGACAACAGTGGAAATGAAACCGCACGAAAAGGGAATGGCGTATATCAGTCGCTGTCGCGAATTGCGCGACAAACTCCTTCGATGTGGAGGGTCGATATCGGAAGTCGCCTTCGTCACAGTTGTTATTAGTGGTCTTGGTTCCCACTGGCGCTCCACTCGCGCCATAATCCGAGCTCACGGGAAGATCTCCGAAGCAGCACTATGCGCCGAAATTCACGCTGAGCAGCAAGACATGGACCTGCAAGAGGAGCGGCACAAGAAGAAAACGTCAGTGCCGGAATTTGCGTTTCCCACTCAACGGCGCTACAACAACAACAACAACCGGCATCAACCAAAACACGTACCTCCGTTCTGTCATCTCTGCAAGACTTCGAGTCACTCCCGCACACACTGCCCAAACCGGCAGCAGTCAACGCAGTGGCAGCTTCGACCTTCAAGCAGTCAAGTAGCATCCACGTAGGCGCACCCCACGAGTCAGCCGCAATCCTCAACAACATCACCAACGCAACCTGCACAAGGAGCAAGAAACATCGTCAGTTGCATGGCAAGACTGTCAGATTCCTGCATCACTGAATCACCGCCACATTACTCACCGGAAGAGCAGCTCGACAACAGAACTCCTCGCCGCGAATCACTTCAACCGAACCCAACGTACGCAGCCATCGCCCAAAGCGAACCATCCGGGAAGGATACCTGGTTCTTGGACAGTTGCTGTGGGCAGCATATGTGCTCCTCGGGTCGCTTCGTTCAACGGGAATACCAACTTCAACGGGAAGTCGTGATCACCATCGCCAACAACCAGAACCTGCACACACGATGACAAGGCGTGGTTCAACTTCAGTCACGGGAAACAAACGTTATACTACAGATGTCGAAGGTTTTAATAGCAGAAGGACTCGGCTACAACTTACTGAGCATCAGTCAGCTGATGGCTTCAAGGCATCCATCTCGCAGCAGACATCACCACTCAGGAGTTAAAGCTGTACCACGGGAGAGGCGGACTTTACATCGGGAAGGTGGTCCTGAAGAATAACGTCTTCGTCCTCGACTTTGTTCCAGATCTAGGCACCGCCGACAGCGACGGAATCATCACGTTCACCTCCTAGATGCACCCACCGGATCTTGATCCTGACTTCAGCCCCGAAGGCTTCTGGTATTCGCACACTATTCCTGAGGCAGAACGAACAAGAGCATTAGCAACGAGAAGTCACTCGGCAGCAGCAGAGACAACATCGGCAGCAGCAGAGACAACATCGGCAGCAGCAGAGACAACATCGGCAGCAGCAGAGACAACATCGGCAGCAGCAGAGACAACACCAGCAGCAGCAGAGACAACATCGGCACCAATCGCGGGTCCTTCAACTGCACCAGCCCCAATCGACGACGACACTCCACCGACTCCTGCGCAGCAACTGAATCCAACACCACGAGAAGTCCATCGAAGCGCAAATTTTACCGTAGGCTTCTACTCCAACTCCAAATTACACCGTCGCTCACCCGGACATCGAGCTGGCGAAGATATCTGGCATGCACGAATGGGACATCCAAGCAACACGGTGTTAAACAACACAATCAGAGCAGGCGTGCTCGACAAAGACTCACTGCTTCTAACCGACGGAAGCGAACTTGGACAAGCTCGCGGAACGTGCTTTACCTGCCCCGAAGCCGACTTCCTGTACAATCGCGAACCTGGACAAGGAGCATACAGATACACCATCACGTTCATCGACGCCGCCACTCGCTATGTCTGGCATCTCAGCCTTCCAAGCCGCGACATGGCCTTCGAAGCCTTCGTTGCCTGGCTCCCAGTAGCAGAACGGGAATCGGGAGTTAAGCTAAAGAGCTTTCAGTCTGACGGGGGAGGAGAATACACCCTACAGAGGTTCAAGCAGTACTTGGCAGAGGGAGGAATCAAGCGGATCATCTCTCTTCCCTACGCCCACCAACAGCAAGGCGTAGCAGAAAGGATGAACAGGACTCTCCAGAACACCATGCACAAGCTGCTACGTGGCATGCGGCTACCCAACCACCAATGCCCCGAAGCAATGGACCACGCTGTCATGCTGCACAACTTGCTCTCGTCATCATCACTCCCGAACAACGCATCACCGCACCTGCTATGGACAGGATAACAGGGCAGCACAAAAATGTTGAGAGTTTCCGG